GAAATCGTACGAAAATCCAGCGGCATAACGGCAGTATACGGAATTTACACAAAAATTCCTAAAAATCACAATTTACCAAATTAATACAGAACGTGCACGACAACATTATAAGACTTCTATTCTACTGAAGCAACATCAATCAACATCCTGATATTTATCTATTCGATTAAAATCGCACAGAACCCAAAATAACCGGTAGAATCGTTACAGAAAATACTCAAAACGTGTAGAAAAATCATATCAATAACATATCAAAAGTTGTGCGGTGAAAGTTTCGTCAATACAAAATACGGCGCGTTTTTCGGTAACGAAAACACAAATCTGTGCACAAAACGACCAAAACTCGACATCTTCGAAAACAGAAATAGGATTCGGAGTCCTTACCACGAGATAAGCACTTTTCCCAACAGCGGCGTCGGACAAAAAGCACTCTGCGACCTCCGAAAACCAGCTTTTCCTTTGCTTTCCTTCTCTTTCTCTCTCCTCAGATATTTTGATTTATAAAAAATGATTTTCTCTCTCCTCAAATCGAGCTGATTTCCTTATAAAACAAAGCTGATCGGCCCGGCCGATCGCCACATCGTCCAGGACGATATGAACAAAATTCAATCGTCCAGGACGATAATTAATTTCTCGGACGATTTGCTCTCTGACTTGTGCCATGCTCTGATCGTCCCAGGACGATCCAAAATCGGCCCGGACGATCCTACTCCAGAAAATCAGCTGTATCCACTGCACTGATCGTCCTGGACGATCTCAATATCGTCCCGGACGATCCTGGGAGGAAAATCAGATCTTGGAAGGCAAATCAAAGGAACGAGCTCTCACATGATCCCTGCCTCCAATATCTCCCGGATCAACTTCTCAATCTCATTATTCTAAATTTGAGGGTAGTAGTAAGGCCTGACAGTAATCAGTGACACCCCGTCCCTCAAAGTGATGGCATGCTCATACACCTCTACGGTGGCAACCCCTGAGGTGGCTGAAATACCTCATTAAACTATTGTATAAGCAGCTGTATTGAAAGAGGGATGTCCCCCCTTCCTCCCCTCTAATCTTTTCTAAGCTCTGCAGCTCCACTAGAAATCCTCCTCTCACCTCCTATATGGCCCTTACCATAGTTTTGAGAGACACCATGGCTTTAGAGAGCCCTGCATCTCCCCTGTTCACCACCTTTCTCCCTTCCACCAACAGTTTCATCATCAGTGTTCACAATTGACCTTGGTATCCCCTAAAGTCTGCAGCCATCTCATCCCCAAAATGAAATTAGTGCTCCATAACTCCAATGGGAGAAAGTCCTCCCTCACCTGGACTCTCTGTATAGTCAGAACCACCCCCTATACACTCCTCTCCATGTCTGTCTTCCCAATGCCCATCATCACCCCATAGCACCATGTCCACCTATTTCACTCATAATTGGTCTACAACCTAGTTGGATGATAAAGTTGCGGGTAACCCCACTGTCTATCAACACCACTACCTCCTTATCTGCTATTTCTAGTCTCACTTTCATGGTGTGATTCAGAGTGAATCCCACAACTGAGTTTAAGGAGGCCTTTGTCATGTATAAATGCAGCTATTCCTCCACCGATGCCTCACTCCCATCTCCCTCCTCAGCTTCCTCATCATCTTAGACGATGAGAGCCTGAAGAGTTCGGTCCTTACACATGTTCCCCAGTTTATACCTCTCATCACATATGAAACATAACCCTTTTACCCATCTATCTTGCACATTCGCTTCTGTAAGGCACTTGAAGTTGCCTCATGGCAAACTCTAGTGTCCTTCTCCTTCGGTGCCTCTCTATGAAACAACGCCGTATGGGTTCTTGGTGTCAGGTAGCTCCTGTAAGCCCCTCCCATGAGGTTTCTCCGGCTAGCCTTTTCCCTATGATATTTCTCCTCCACCCTCTAAGCAAAATTCATCATCTCTCTCAGCTCTCTAGGTCTCAGTACCCTAAGTTATGCTCGTATGACCTCCTAAGCCCCTTCATGAAATTTCCTTCCAATCCTCGGAAACTCCTTTGTCTTCCCGACAATAGCTCAAACCTCTCTCAATACTCCATGAGTGTCCCCTCTTAAGTTAGAGCACAAAACTATTCGTGGAGGTCTTCTTCCTGAATGGCTCGAATACGTTCCAACAAATACTCCTTAAATTTCCACCATGAATAGACTGGATATCAAGCCTCCCTCAACTGAAATCAACCTGGGCTTTTCCTTCCAAACATAGACCCGCCAACATGAGTTTTTCCACTTTTGTCAACCCATTGACAACAAAATAACGCTCCACCCAAGACATCCAACCCTAAGCATCTTCCCCTTCAAAGACCGACATCTTTAACTTTCTCGATCTCGCATCCATACCACAATGGTTTCTCCCTCTGTTAGCTCCTCCCGTGTAATGGCAGTGCAATTACCTCTCTTCATCCCTTAGTTGATTTGGACCACATGGCTCTGCCCAACCATGATCCCCTCCATTTCATCTCTCTCCATGCCCAGGTAGTCTCCCAAAGGGTTCGGCCTCCCTCCTCCTTGTTGTCCTTCCTTCGAAGCCCCACGTGGAGGTCCTTGATAGAAAACACTCCACTTCAGCATCGTCCTCCGGAATCTCCTTCCCTTTGGTTCAACCCTCAAAATCTCTTGTAAGGCTTTTGACTGCATTTTGATCAACTTCTTCACCATTTCTTCCATATTTCTGAAGCGGCTCTCTCGCTCTCTATGGATGAGAGCCTCCCTTCCATGCCGGAATATCTTTCCTCCACTCCGGCCTTGAGATTTTCCATCTCGCCTTCCAACACCTCCATCTTCTTCGCCGCCATAAGTCCCAAAAAAATGCTCTGATACCAATTTGATAAGAAATGCTTGTACAAAACCAAGAGAACGCTTAGCTAAATTTAAATTTCAACAATTCGTAAAATAGTACTTGAGAAGAATTTGGTGTAAAGGTAATAGAGAAACTTTTAAATCCTCCTCTAATTCCTGTTGGACCCCACCTGGAGAGAGGGTTAGACCCCACATGGAGAGAGAGCGGGAGCCCCCTCTGGGTGGAACTCATTGTTCTGCCTTGTATACACACAGACCAGTCCCGCGTGCTATACCGATCAATCACTTTCATTCACTTATATCAATCAGTGCAAATTAGCCACATAAAACAATCAAAATCAGTATTATACCTAGAACATTAATAGACTTGAGTCTGATAGTAATGACAAAAAGGTAAAATGTAGACATGAAGCCCGAAGTAAACTTACTAAAAAATGCTAAGCTACTTGTTATGGTGAATTATTTCCAGGTTGAAACATAGAAGATGAACAATAAATGATCCATATCAGCATATAAATATCCCTTAAATAAATCCAACTTGCAGCAGAAACTAACACAATTACCTCAAAATAATCTGCGTGTATGAGGTCGGTCAATATTTTCCTGAACCGCAAACCTAGTGCTCCAGTCAGATATTTTGAAGTTGAATACAAGGTAGATTGAAGAAAACATAGGATGAGGTTTTCTACAATTAGCCGAATAAACAATGGCACGCGTCTTAGAAAAACGGACCGAAACAAGAAACCTTGAACTCTGGCAAGTCTGTTACTCAAGGCAGTTCTCAACACCTGCAAGGATGCATCCTGAAATTAAGATATATCCTATAGCATGTTTCAATGAAAATAAGAATAAGACCATAGATGTATAACACTAATGATGCATCTATTATTTCAAACCAGCCAAAAGGAATAGGATCCACTCCAATGATCATGATAATTAAATCCAATCATCCACATTTTACATGGTTGGGATCAAGTCCACCCAAATTAGAGTGGCTTTGGAAAGAAAGCTGGGCCTGATCACAATCATGATAGCAAAAGAATCTATAAATTGCTGAAAAATTGAAAGCTACGGTAAGACTCCTTAAACCCAAAGAATATATTAGTCATTGACAGGAAAATATCCAGCTTACTGCAGTGGTCACCAACCCCACAAGAGTCCGTAAACCAGTAGGGCCAATTTTCGAGAGCAAAATTGCAGTTAAAATATGTAGAGATCTCAGGCCACTCCTTTTCTTCCTCAAAATTTTGGCTGCCTTATCATCTACACCATTCTGGCTCAAGTGTCCAGTAACATTGATAGAGCTCTTGGACCTATCCCTTTTGCTTTTGGTGATTCGTGACTGCATATATACAGCAGTTCCACCAGTCACCATGACACCTGCAACTAGAGCAAGAGTCCTCCTACATGAAAGGCACCACCATGCACATAAATTATTAGTGTTTAAGCAATTCCAAGCAAGAAATAATGGTCAGTATAATTCTGATAGTAAAAGATGGCAAACTCTCAGGTGAAAATACAGGATACAAAGAAAACATTTCAAACATTTTCTAACAAATACTAAAAAGGAATGTAAATGCATCAATGTTCTCAAAATTCAAACAGATTCGGTCCATGCAAAATTTTAGAGAAACTGCATCAACAAGCATGCTGAGAGTTGTTTAAAGGTACGTGATTGCAAGCTAGCTCAATACAAGAAGAATTAAAAGATGAAGAAGGTTGCAGATTTATAGCTAAAAGAATAATGAAGAGCCAGAAAATTTTTGACTTTCTAAATTCACATTTAGTAACAATGTACAGATTCACATAAAGCACCAAACATAATGATCAATGCAAACTATAGCAAGGTTTGTAAACATGTCTAATTGGTATAGCGTTGACCAATCAAGGATTTTATTTATTCCAAAAGAGGATTACTTTTGTCTCCTATAGAATGAATAATATTAAAATGTATAAAGATTCGTTGGCCACTTCTCATAATGTTATTCACGGTTGTTTCCAACATGAAATTTATTCATTGCTAGAATTATATGAAAAAAAAAAAAAAAACAATCATCACAGCCAGCCAAGTGATTAATTCTACGATCCCGTAAATGCATGGTCAATGGAGGCATCTAAGTAGGAAGAAGAGAAACTTTGGAAGCACTCATAAATTCGAACTTCTAGTCTTCTACAAAGAAAAAGTTTAAATGGAAGTATTGTCACATAAATCGGTTAGTTGAGGAGTTGATTAAAATATCATACAATTGTACATGAAGTATCTTAATAGTCAGAGAAAAAAGAATGTGCATCAAGTCAAGAAATAGTACAACTGGATATGGAAGGGTTTTCTTTTCATGAGGCAAAACATAAGCCTCAAAAATAAACAAAAAAATTAATGAAAAATATGAAATAATAATTAATATACTAAAATCAAAATATGATTATATATAGTCAACATAAGACCATAAAGTCCAAATTCAATATAAATAAGTAATCAAAGTTAAAAAGTCATGAATTCAAAAATCCTCTTCACTCCCATCACTTAGAGGGTCTTCATTAAAATAATTATTGTAATTAATTGTTTCTCTCCTCGCTCCTCCTTAGTTGCATCAATATCCTCACGATCTTCCTTCTCATCTTCAACCATCTTCCTCTTCCCTTATTAATAAAAACCAATTAGAACATTAATAAATTTTAAAATAATGATCATATTGATAATTCTAATCTCTATCACATTAAATGTTATACTAACATTTGCTATTACTTGCTTGTTGATTGTGCTGGTCTTGTTTTTCCTCCATCTAAAAAGTCAATATTGATATTTTCCTATTATAATTGTGATAGTGGTATAACTTATTTTTGTCCTGCACAAATCATTCATCATCCAATACTACATCATTATAACTAATAGAACCATCCTCCAAAATGAACTTCTTCAAATGTTTATTCAAGCACTTTCTTCTCTTAGTATAAACTTGGTTTTATGAACTCCAAGTTTGCTCACACTCGGACGATGAGCATCTAAAACCTTGTATTATGATTTTATAATTCATAAGTGTTATCTTCAAATTGATCCACAACTCAACTAATTTTTTAAAAAGAAAATTAGCATAGTATATACAACAACAAGCCTTTGTCCCACCACGTGGGGTCAGCTACATGAATCCTTTTTCGTCATTGTGTCATGTTAAAAATCAAATTATATTTAAATCTAATAAAGAAAGATCATTTCTAATATTTTCTAACCAAGTCTTTTTAGGTCTACATCTACCTTTCTTAACATAAGTCAAATCTAATACCTCAAGTTTCCTAATCGGGTCATCGAAAGGCCTCTATTTAATGTGATCAAACCATTTAAGGTGACTCTCTCTAATCTTATCTTTCACTGGAGCTACTCCAACCTTTTCACGTATATGCTCATTTCATATCCTATCTCTAAGTGTAAAGCCACTCATTCACCTAAGCATCATCATCTCTGCAACACTTAACTTATGATTATGCATAGTATGTAAATTAAAAAAAAAAAAACTTAACTAGTAAATGTTAAAAGTTATCAAGGAAATGTTTCGCCAAAATATCTTTGATGTGTTGCAATCCAAAAAATAATTTCTTATTTCGAAAAGCTGCATGTTGGAGATCAGCCTTCGCCTCTGAATTGAGTCAACAGTCAATCTATTCATACACTAGGACAAACCAAAATTGATCTATGGATTGATGGACAAGTTCTTAGCAAATTGATATTGAGAATTCAAATAATAGCCAATGACATACATATACCCATGCAGTTAAAGCTCCCATTTCTCATCTATAACTTCACAAATTTTCTTGTAGTTGCACTCATGTTCTCCTATAAGCTTAGTGCTATCAACTCATTTGCCTCATCTATTGCATTATAAATGAAACTCATAGCTTGATCTTTCTCTGCATCAACCATAAGACATTAATTTAAGGGCTTAATAGTCGTGAAAGCATAAGTTACACTCAACCAAAATATGTCACTCAAAATAATCTTCCTCACTTATTTACCTTCAAGCATAATTTAAGCACTGTGTAATGTTGAACATAGCTCCCAAAGTTATATTTCTTCTACAATGTTTTATAAAATTAAGTATGCCAAAGCAAATCTAGTAGTTGCGGGTCTAATTAGTTTTTTTCTTAGAGAACTTCCTCATCAAGGCTAAAACCCAATTATCATTATAAATAAGTTTGCTAATCTTCTTTCCTTTAGTTGAGACAATTCTGTAAGTTTTTAAGGATTAAATCAATGTAATTTGCAGCATATGGAATCCAGTAAATATGCTCTCTCCATCAATTTATTTCTCACCGCATTATAAGCACATATACCGACAATGACAACTTGGACTACTAGATGTTCTCTAATCTTCTCTATAACTCCATTTATTAGTTTAAAAATGTACTCTATATTATTCACCTACTATGATGCTTCAATAGATTTCATAAGATAATGTCACAAAAATTATTTATTAGAATGTTGAACAAGTTCTTTTTCTAATATCCAACCAGCCATCCGACGTGATTGTAACTTTAGTTTATGACCAAGTTCCCTTGATCTTCTCAATGACCCTCTCAATGTTAATTCCTCCTTCAATATCTAAGTACCGAGCTCGTATGCAGAAATAGATTTAAGGCCTCGAATATAGGAACCTATAAAACAAATCATGCTGACATAGGATCAGGAAGTCACCACATTAAATATAATTGCATTCTCAAAGAAGAGTTCTTCAATGTCCATACAAAGAAACTTATGAGTCTCTCTTGCATTTTGTGCAAACATTTGATAGGATACTCTTATGCCATCATTATTGTCATTCTCCACATTCATCACATATTGATCTATAGTTTCCCTCACACCACTATTATACATTAGTGGCAAAGAAGTAGTAGAATATTTGTCACTAGGTCCGCTACTATAATAGAAGCAACTATCAACTATGTCAACAAAGTTATAAATGCTAAATGTTTGGGCATGGTCGCTTTATTCATATAAGTACAAATATTTTTGTTCACTCCTTCAGGTACTTTAATGCATGGCACACTATTCTTGAGAACCAGAAAGATGCTCTTTCATTCTTCACCACCTTTAACCAATTTATTGTAGTAGTTGCATTTTAAATAAAAATGACTTTTCGCTCCCTCCAATTCAGACTTGAATATACTTCCATGCCAAATTCTTTTCTATTTCCCATTGAACTTTTTTCATAACCTCTAACAATTCAAAAATAACTCTAAACTAAAAAACTCATTCAACATAGACAAAATCCCATTCAAAATGGAGAATAGGAAATGCAAGTGATAAAAGAAAATAAACATAGTAAATAAAGAACAATAAGACCATAAAGAAGACAAAAAACAATAAGGGAATGGGTCACTGGCAACAAGAAGAGAGCTAGTCGAGAAGCAATGGAAACGACATAGTAGGAGGGTCATGGCTCTTGTGTGCATCTTCCTGCTACAAGTGGGTACATTTCTTAATTTATAGTAAGGTTTTCTTAGAGAGAAATATTTTTTGTTTAAATTTACCATTGGGTTTATACATTAATTTAAAACTTTAGGCTAACAAAATAAAATAAGCAAAATCTACCTGACGCTTACACTTAAATTGATTTGAGAGGCACCATGACCACACCAAAGCTGAGGCATATGCCTCAGCTGGACACCATGAGGCGTGTCCCTCATTGTTTTTTCCATACGTCTCAGAGAAAGACGTGCCTCTCATTGCACAATTTTAAACATTAATGTGAGTACACATTTAAAAAAAATTAAAGATTTTAAACGATAGCAAAATGATGATTACACCTGCACAATTGTGCATAAATAAGAATAAAAATATCTTCCAGTATAATCAAAGCGAGAATGAATTAAAAAAGGGCTCGTATGACTGTATGAGACTTTATGATATAAATCACTTATTTTAAAAATATCAATAGAATACAGAACATTTAAAAGAAAAAAGAAAATGCTAAATTCTAGGATAAAAAAAAACAAGGAGCTATATTCATCATTATTGAGCTTTATAAAAGCAGCCAACTTTAATATGCCAAAGCCTAGAGTGACAAACTAGCCTACAAGTGGATGGCTTCTTTGGAGGTAGAAGAAGCTACATTTTTCATAACAAAATTCAACAAGATTTCTTTCAAACAACCAAAATTTCTTATTTTTTACATGATTGCATTGACCTAATCATCATCCACTATATTTATACAAGCAATTTAACATAGATCTTATGTTAAAATTCAATGTCATTGGATTCCAAGTAAAACGAAACTTAAAGCCATCGTAAGGAACTCAATAGTTCATGTAGCTAGAACAATCTAATACAAAAAGAATGTGAAAAATATATTGAAGGTGGGCAAGACACGAACCAATAGAATTTATTTACATACCTCCTCGAAGTAAGAATATTTCGGCCATGTTCGGTTAGCTGTAATAGCTGCCCAGAGAGCATCTTTTAAAATATTTCTTAGAAGAAAATCTGCAATTAATAGTGCATTGGCCTCTGCCGACTAACTGTAAAAAGGCAGGGAGCAACAGCTGACATGACAAATCAAAATTATGAGCCTGCAAAAGCACCAAATAGTAGAGAAAAAAGCAAAAAGAACTTAGTGAACTTCTTGTCAAGCGACTTCACCTGAGAGTTACTAAAGCATAAACACCAATATTTGAGCCAAGAATAGAAAATAACCAAATTTAATATGTGACAGAAAATGTAGTTGTTAAAAAGTAAAGGCAAAAAATTCACGAGGTAGAGATCATAAAAAAGTAAAAAAGAAAAAGAAAACCTTCCCATTATAAGGGAAAATTCACGACCAAAATAGGGTACAATTCACATAAACAATATAGCATCATGTACAAGTGCGGAAAGGAAATTTTTGAAATGTAAGTATCTTACAAACATGAATCAAACACATTCAATGGCACAAATGAGATGAAGCATATATGACATAGGTTATAAGCTAAATAGAAAGAAAGAAAAAAAAAGGTAGCTTCCAATGCTATGATCTTTTAGGTCATATGAGAGATATTAGAACTCATAATAGCACTCCTTCCACAAGCAAATGTTTTTGTACTATACAGGTCAAAGGCTAGAAGAAATGTATCTATAAAATCAAACTAATAAAGCAATAAGCAAAATTATTCAATAAAATGTGATGGCATTGGTAATGCAAATGTGTTCATTTAGCCAAAACATACCAAAATCTCAAACATCATCAACAAGATCATAATTTGCAGCTCAAATACAAATCATTAAAGCTTCAAGTTTAGATACTGCACCATTAGTTAAACTAACATTATAAAATAAAAGCATATCACCACTAATATAGATTAAAATATAGAGAGATCTACAAACATGAAACATCACATGACCTCAAGAGGTATTTTTGGAACAAATCAATTTTAAATTACACAGCAGGAGATTATGCTTAATCTTGTGGAAGAATGAGCAAGTGGTTTGTTACTGCAGAGGACTAAAGAGATTGGAAACAATCCAAGAAATAAATACAGAGAATCAGTCCTTGGTTTCAATATAACCAAAAAAAAAAAAACAGACTCCCTCCACTTCACCATCATAGCATAAAAACAAGTCGCCCTTAATCTAACAACTAAGATAACCTGCGCCAATTTCAAGTTGCTTCAATTACAATCAAGTTCCCAACCGTGATGCGTGTTATTCTACCAACCTCGACCTCCTTCAACCCCCGCACTTTAACCAAGAAAACTAGAAAAATAGAATTCATTCACTCTCTGGTGCAAGCATAGCTCAAACGGCTAGCCGCCCTAGATATCAATTCAATCCCAGCTGTCCCAGAACATGCATGCCCGAAAGTCCCCCGTTCCTCTTCCATGAAAGGCATAGAAATCAAGAGATAGAAAAAAATCGATCGATCTAACAAACGATCCTTCAGTCCGGAAAGAGAAGTTCTCGAACCTCTAACCCGTCGATTGAGCGGAAAAGAAGAGAACAAATTGGACCAAAAATTTACTCACAAAAATTAGGAGGGCGGGCGATCAACTATATGTCTTTTGCTGCCGCCGAGCTATGGAGCCGGGGCGACACTGGTAGGGAGTCCATCTTCGCCCCGTTCAGCAGAATAAGCAAATACTCAGGTGCGTCGAGGAAGAGGGTCGAGTAAACTACTGACGCGAAATTACAATTATAGTACGATACCGGTGAGATGTTCCTGCGGTTTACTTTCAAATTTGTCATTACGCTGACGTCGCAATAATTTAATGGCATAGAACTTTCGAATACTGGTGTGAATTTAGCCCGATCGAATTCTAGAAATGTTTGGTATCGAAGGAATCAAAGAAAATATTAAATTAAACATAAATCTGTTAGATTTAGCTGAAAATCATTAATATATGCATTTATAAATTTATTTATTTATTTATTATTTTTGTGCTCTACATTTTCGCCCAAGAGAATCATGAAAAAGATCAACATCATTTGTTCTAAATTTATCCTCTATTGAGACTGCAATGCTAAAAAAAATTCTCTAAACTTATCCTCTTTTATGTATAACTCTTCATAGTATTAGAACAATGAATTGATTTAGACTCTTTCCTATCTTTCTCCTTTTTTTCCAGTAAAATTTGAGCCTCTAAACTCATTTGCTCCTTTGTGCATTTTCATCTCTTAAGTATTGTGAACTACTAAGCATTATTTGAGATATTCCTTTTATGGCTACCATCTCATGTTAAGATATAGTATTTAGTATTGCAAATTCTTGAATCTCTTGATATGAATCTAGAAAGAACTTGCAAATATCTTCGTTGGTAGTATCTATCCATGTCGATCATTCCCTACAACCCAAATAAATCTCCTCTTATATCTTCATCTTGATCATGATTGGCATCACGATCTTGTTTGAAAGTAATGCCACATTCTATCCTTCTTTTACCGCCATTGTCTTATCTCCAAATTCAACTCATGTGACCTTCATCAACACTGCCACATTGATTCTCCACAAGCTATCCAACGATAGATACTACTCAATTTAGTGCTTTCAAATGACCAATCTCCATCTAGTTTCTAATATTATGTAAGTTTATGAATGGATATATCCATGCCCATCTGCCAAAATTCTGTAACACAAAACATGATTTTGGCAATATCAATTGGCGCTCCTTGCAATCCATATCTCGTTTAGTTTTAAACTACAAAAATTCCAAAGAAGCTTGGCTTAAACTTAAGACCTCATATACTAACAAATCAAAAACTAAGATGGGTCATTGTGATTTTTTGACAAAAATTATGCAAAGTGGTAAAGCCATAATTGAATTCATGCAATGCATTAAAACAATCATAAATGATCTTACAATGATTGGCATGAAACAAGTGATGCTAAGATTGTTGTATACACTTTCAGTGGTCTCATAAATGACTACAAAGAAATCAAAGCAGACTTATGAGCAGGAGAATCTCTTGTTGGCTTTGAAGAATTACTAAAAGAATTACTTCATTATGAAACTAATTCCAAGCTTAGTGAACTAACACGAGACATTCTCGCTACCACCATTCAATGCACTCAACAAATGAAAAGGATGTATGATATACAATAACTCACAATAGAAATAATGCAACACCATTAATCACCATGAATTCGTAAATCATAGCTAAGGATGAAGTCTAGTAAATTGCCTAAGACAATCTAGGGACACACCAAATCTATTAAACTTCGCATTTTATTATTTGAATCACTTTATCGATCAAAAAATTTGGCCACATAGATATGGTGGCCAACCTAAGGGTATTGTGTCAACTATATGATAGAATTGGGCATGCTTTAAATTTTTTTATATCTCAACCTCCACCATAAACATCTATGTAGCCTCAAATCAACATTACAATTGCTAATAACTCAAGCAATCAACCAGGATAGATCACCAATTTACTTTTGACCTTCAAAACCTCTAAATTCATTCATATTATAATGGTAAAAATATATTTATAGTCAACAATGATAAAATCATTCATATCACTCACAAGGGCTCAACATCTTTTAGTTTTAACTTTCAACAAAATATTATTTTGTGTGCCCTAAAATAAAATGAAACATATATTTTTACACTCAAATATGCTCTTAAACTAAAACATTAGTTGCATTATTTCCTTATTCTTTTCATTAGGACCTACCCATGGGAGCATCTTTGATGCAAAGCTAGGAGGCAAGAATATGGAACACAGGAGATGTCACAACCCAACTCGACCAGGACAAGTCCTATCATGTTGAGCTCTGACAAGCAAATCTCAAGATCTAGTTTTGAAATTATTTAATATTTTTTTGTTAAAATTCATTGAAATAAACTACAAACTATAAAGCTACTAAAACATCAAAATATTGAAAATAAATTTATCCACCAAGTTTCGTTCATTTCATTAAAATAAATATATACACTAGGTTACATGTAAAAGCTACATAACTAAAAATTTAACTAGTCATGACTATACAAAAATCAAAATAGCAAAATATATAATACATCATATTTGATCCTGAACTACTAGTCTACAATCTCCTTCCCCTTCCTATATCTTGAAAACTAGAAGTAAAACCACTGTGAGCTATAACAGCTTAGTAAGCTACACAAATTAATCTAAATTTTCAAATATTTTTTTATCAAATATTTTGCTGAATATTTTAAAATAGCTAAATATAATTTAAATAAATCACTAAATTGATAGTCACTAAATTAAGAATATTTTTCACACGAGATGAGCTAGAAAAATGATATATTGAAAATGGGTTGGAAAGTGGTGTGTTGTAATTTGATATAATAATAATAATAAAATATGAATTGGGCTGAAATAACTGAAGGATGATTAAGGTGTATTGAACAGAGGTACTATATTGATATTGATGTGATAGCAAATAATGTATTGATTGATATTATATATATGATATGATACTCTCATGTGATATCCTCAAAATATGTGTGGTCCACTAATAGAAGTTAGTTGATGGGAGTCATAAGGAGCTAGAGATTCATTGTGAGTTATACGAAGTCGAGGCGACTGTCACATATCTTAAGAGGAGTTATAAGGAGTATATTGATTGGGAGTTATAGAAGGGGCAACTAATTAGGAGTCATAAGTGTACAAGCAAGATACCCCCCATCTAAATATATGATAGAATACTAATTATTGATTACTTATATTAATTACTATTATCAATTATATAGTATTGTTATTAATGTTATAGCTTACACTATACTGATACTGACCACTATTATTGATTAATGATTATTGTTAATGTTAATATGACTGACACTGAGGATACTGAGACTAATACGGGCTATTGTATTGACATTGGTCACTGTTATTGATTACTTATTGCTAATGTGATTACTGATATTGATATTATACTAATACTATTTACTGTTATTGATACTGTGACTAATGATGTAATAGATCAAAATGTGATGTGTTATAAACTAAGCAATTGGTACAGATAACTGGTATATATATTGATGCGTAGATTTTTTTATATAATTTATAGTATATTGTTTCTCTTTTTATTGTATTGATTTAAACTGTAGAATTTGGTTATTTACTCGATTATTAGCTCATACGTGGTTTAAATGATTTTAGGTAAGTAGCCTGCAACTTGAGGTTATGTGTGTAGTGATGTTGGTGCAGTTTTTATTTTAGCTTTTGATTTATGTATTCTTTTGAAGCCAATGTGGGTATTGCATTTGCCGTTTTGAACTCTGGATGTAGCATTTAAATATTGATTATAGTAATGTGAAGTATATTTTCCCATTGTTTATATTTTTGTAATGCATATAATTAGCTTTGGATATTAAATTAATATAGTTATAAATGATTAATCATTGATTGTTAAATGAAAAGACAATAAATGGGGGAAGAAAGAAAAAAATCATCCACTATAGATCTCGGGGTGTCACAATCTATAACACTGATTACGATGTCTCCTTAGCCTAAGGAGAGGAAATATATCATGGAGTGGATAAAATAGTCCACCTAACAATGACTTCAAAGATGCTTTTACACTCATCTTTCAAAAATTTATCAGGCTGATTGATTTTGGTCTAAATAATGTAATTATTGTCTCTCTAGATTTGGTTGGCTAACATTAAAGGGTTGTCTCAAAACTCATGTTGCACCTTTTCCTACACTTTTACTAGGGCATCCATTCATTCTCATGCCCATAGTATCTCATGTTTTGTAATACATTCCTACGAATATGATCGAAGTCAAAATTCAGAATTATTACTTCCCCGATCATAATTATATGTCTAGATTACATTTTAGGAAGAAAATAATGATTGTTTGTTTGATAACATCATCTCCAGGTCTATCTTTATTCTTCATGAATTAAGACTTCAAATCTTATGCATGTAAGGTTAAAAAGCCAAAAAGCCACCATGCTCTTACTGACTGCTCTCAGTTGCATATGTGATCGGCCTCATTTTTAAAATTTTCTATCTCAAACACTTGCTACCTCATATGGCTTTGATATGTTAGAAGTCCAATTGTCATTGGTTTCATTGTAGATCTGAAATCCTCTTTCTGTGAACACCATATTTGTATGGTATTTATGATTTCTAAATAAAGCTGCTAATGGAAATTTATGCTTCGTTTGGGACAACTTTCTTACTGTTTTCTAATGTAATTTTATAGTTCAAAAAAAATTTGTAGTTCAAAAATTAAAAAATTATTTTAAAAAGCAATAAAAAGATATCCCAAATGAAATCTTAATATTACTCATTTTGGCTATTTCTTATATAGTATTTGACTGTTATGTTATGGCTATGTGAGTTTCTTTTTTATGCTAGTCTTCTATAGTTGAGAGGGTTTTTGGAGACCGTTAATTGTCCTCTTTTTAATATGTAGCTTTCTTTTGTTTATATATCTCACTCATCTGCTTGTGTGTTCAAATATTTTTACATATAAATCAATACTATAAGGTTTTTTTTCAAATATTTGTAAATCAACCTATTGAATGGCCCCACTGATTTGTTTTTCTTCATGAAATCAGTACTATCGTTGTGGTGCAACCGTGTTGGCAATCAAGTTTCTTAGTTATAGATCTTCTCAGTTATATTAGGGTCTGTTTGAGTTATATTATGGTTTGTTTGGGACAGCTTTCTCGTAATTTCGCT